GTTGCTATGGAGTCTCTGGAGCTGCTCCATGAAAGCTCAGTCCTAGAAAGTCCCAGACGAAGCAGAAATAATTAGCAGACCTGCATGAACAGAGGTTCCTAGCCAGCAAGGAAAGAAATACAATAATAAAGACCAGCTTGACCCAAAAGAGTACTGCAGACATAGGGCTGAGCTCTGCAAATCACACAAGTGTGAATTCTCTCCCCTTGTGCAGCGGCTGAGCCGCTGCAGCCCCTGGCAGCAGGCATGAGACAGCATTTGGCCAGAGAAGAGCTAGTGCTGCCTTTATCCAGCAATAACCATCACTCCAATAACCTACACAACTATTTCCTTGCCTTGCTGCAAAACAGGTAGAAGTAGAAACCTGGCACCAAGGAAAGAAATGTCACACGCACCAGGTTTTTCTCTTTGACTAAGCAGGAGAGAGGGACACGCGGCATTTTCAGCTGTTAGCATGGCTTTACAAAGCAGCCTTTCAAAGGAGAGCAAGCATCACGAGAGATGCTGGATAGGCTGGAGTCCCAGAAAGACATGCAGCAGGGACTTAAGCAAAAGCTTTATGGTGCTACAGCAGAGGGAGGAATGCATGTTTCCCCCTACCACTGCAGCCGCCTTGCACAGCTGGCTAACCTACAGCAAGAGGGACTCTGACCACAGAAGGTTCATTAGTCCCACTTCTGACTGCTCTAAAGGGAGAGGACAAAACCAATTTTGGCTTGGATCCAGGCTTGCTTTGTCACTGGTGCTGCTTACTTTTGCAGCTATCCATTATCACCTTGCTATTTTGACTTCACTTGACACCCCAGCAACACGGGTGCTTGCACACTGCGGTTTCTATGGGTTTGCATACAAACAGAAAGCTGGGCCTAATTCTGAGTCAGGACTTGTTGTCTCCCACAGCTCTCTACTGCAGCAGGCTGGAAATTATGTAACAGCTTCGCTTCTGGTTTTACAACATCAAAGCTCTCATTGGATTAAATGAGGAAATACAGTCCACTCGCCATCCCTCATCTACCAGCTTGGCCAGTGCAGGCAGTGGACGTCAGGCTGGAGAGGCATCAACTCTGGGCATCTGACTTTCTGCTTTGCAGCCCGTGGGTGCTGGGAAAGGTTACAGTGTCTGGGAAGGGATCGGGTCTCTCTGTCTTGGGAGGAGACAGTTTGGAGTTAATATGCATAAACCAGGCAGTTCTGCTAAAGTGGTTAGCTGTGAAATAACTAGCATTTCCATTTTCCCCCGTGAGTTTCAAGATTAACAAGCCCGCAGAGAGTGAAAAGAAACAGTTCATCCTTTCCAAAGGTTTTGTTTCAGGCTGTTTGCAGAATCAGGAAGATAATGCATCAATTTATCAATTGTTTTGCGCAATAAATTTGCAAACACTCACTAGTTTTATATTTCAAAAATTTTCTCCACAACCACGAGGGCCAGACAGCATGAAAATGAAGGGAGCTTATCTGAAAAATCTTACAGCTGTCCCAGAGAAGTCCCAATCGCCAATACACCCTGTTCCTCCAAATCCCAGCCTCTTACTTTCCATGGTCATAGGATTCCTCCTTCTTGCAGTTCAGCTGACCACCAGAGAATTAACCCAGCAGTGAGAGCAGATGGTGCCCTGCTGGGTTACTGAGCAGAGGGGTGGGTACAAAGTGCCCCTTTTCAGCAGCAGGAAACTATTGGAGCAGTTCATGGGCAAAGTCAGCACTGGAAAACCTGGAGCATGAAGCACTGCTTTAAGGCAGATCTGCAGCAAATATTACAAGTCCCAACTATCTGGCATTTACACTCAGACTTCAATCCAAGGAGATGATTTGTATATATAATAGGGTTGCTAGAAGAGCAGAGTTATAAACACAAACCTCTTTCAGAATGAAACATCTGAGTTCCCACTGAAACCCTTACAGGAATTACATTTCTCTTTCAAATACAAAACAGACTCAGTAATTCTGGTATGATCATGGTTTGGTAGCAGAGAAAGACTGCCTAAACCCCAACTGTTTCCTAAACATTCCTTTAGCAACCTCAGGAGCTAGAAAATGGTAATTTGCATGAGTGTTGGTGAAAAGGACTTGTGAGTAATCAAGTCAAGTTGATCACAAAGGTAGATTTCTCTCACTATAAAAGCACTGCTCCATTTTAGTCTTAAATATTCAGTGGTTAGAAAAATTGTGCATGTGTGTGTGTATAAAATATACATAATATAAGAGCCAGAACTCTTAAAACAATGGAAAATGTGATTTTAAAAATAATCTTAGTGGCTCCTGTTACAAGTGCTGTGGCATAAGAAATGGAAAACATTTAAGTCAATTTATCACATCTAAATATTACATTACATGATCCAGTTAGTTGCTCTAATCGCTGCTAGGATACTTAAAACTGCCTGGTTACACATGAGAGCAGATCCTTCAGGGTCCATTTCAGTCTAAGAGAACAGTAAACTTGGTTCTCGAGATAGGTTTTCAGTGGGCTTTAACAGATGGAGGAGCATTTCCACTCCACTCCCCATCCTGGTGACCCACTCCCATCACCTCCGCCATGTCAGAAGTGATGAGCGCAACAAATCAAAGGAAGTAGCTGAAAACTTTATTTTTTCTTTCAAGGTTATTTTTCAGCCAAATCAGCAGCCTGATTCAACTCTGCTCATTTTGGTGGCAGCAGTATTGCTGTAAATCAGCTGGCATCAGCAGTGAAACTGAACCCACAGACAAATGAAATAATGTTGTCAGCCCTTGTTTGGCACATGAATAGTCTTTTCCCACTCCATGGCCTGAGGATTTTTGAGTAAAGACATTCAGGAGGGAGTGGTAACTTTTATCACTGCCATGCGCTGTCAGTCTAGAACCAGAAATAAGTCTGCATCTTAGCTCACAGCAGGGAAAAAAGCTCATTTCCTACAATAACCTTTATCTCACAGTTTGTCTCATGGCTTGCCAGCACCAAGAGTTTTACTTCGGGCTAAGTCTGACGGATGCCAAGTTACTCCTTTTAACATTGAGCAAAAAAAATCCCAGAAATCAAATTTGAGTCCCAGCAGCTTCAGTAGGAGAACAGCAGCTGCAGGTGAACTAGTACATATACGCTGAGATATTTTCACAAGTGCGAACAGACAGACTGACAGAAAAACAAACTCAGAGGTGAGCGCAGCCAAGCCCTTGCACTGCACGCTCTCCAAGGCAAAGGCCACCACTCTCTCAACAGTAGTGCAGAGCTAAGTACCTATATTGTGATTGTGGCCTGTGGCTGAAGTCGTACAGCCCTGCCATTAGGGTGAAAGAGGACAGTTTTTGCTCCTGCTTTTGCAGAAAACAATGCTGGTGATCAGATCCTTCTCCCAAGACAAGCCCTCGGCTTACTAAGAGGGATGCAACACAGATATCCAGCCTCCAGCAGTGAGCAGGCTGTAGTCTAAGCAGTCTCTTCAGTCATCAGCTCTACTACTAAGAGATCTAAGGGGACTCAGCTAATGCCACTAACCCCGGCATGACTGTGACAGGCTTGAGGTTTACAGTCTAGAGGAAGAGAACAACACATCCAAACCCCAGCGCTGGGAGCCATCCAGTCCCCAGCAGTTGTCAGCCCCTCTTGCGCAGTGACACGATGCAGCTGTGTCTTACTCAGCACTGGAACCCACCCAGGCCTCTTTCCGTACACTCCGAATTTTCAAAACCAGATAACAGTCATACGTCAGCACCTCACATCCCTCGGGACCGTGCTCAGCTCCATGCTCTGTTCAGGCTTAGGGGTACATGAAGTTGCTTCTGGACATTTTCTGCTTATTCCAGCCTTGCACACCATGCCTAACACTTTAGTACCTGGGTACCTGACCAAGACCCTTCAAATTTCAATTTGCCACATATATTTAGTTGCAAACTTTCATTTGCTTGTTTTTAAATTAGCAGGAGCAGTAGCAGATTTCCACTTAAGCCAGGCACTTTGCACTACAGGCTCACAGCCTTTCCGCCAGGCTGCCACCAGACCCCACTCACAGTCTAGGAAACATCCCACCATTCAGCGCCAGCAGCTGCCTCTTTCCAGTAAACGACTTGTGCAGATAGGGTCTAAAGAAGTGAAACATAACTACTCCTGGGGCAGGAGTTTGCTTCTCACCTGATAGCACAGCGTGGGGGATTTTTTTAAGTCATGTAATCTAATACTGATAGGAAACACCACTAGTCTTCTTTTTCCCCTTTCTAAGCTGTTAGCACAGCATGCAGTAGCGTCAGCCACTTCAGAAAGTACTGAAATTTTCTCTCTCTCTCTCTCTTACTCAAAGGGAAGAAAACCCTCTTGTTTTCAGCAGCCTCCTTCTTTTTTTAATCAACACTACACAGAACAACTTACAACACTGAAAGCCATCAGTGCTCTCTCAAAATCATCCAACACACTTTCATGTGGTTACATTTGAACCTCTGTCTATCTGGACAGTATCAGTAAAAGGCAATAACACTTATTCACATTTGTGATTGATCAGGTTTTCCCTCATCCTTCATCTTTCGCTTTTTCACAGGTTGCATTTATACTTGTGGGACTAAAAGGCAAACAGGACCTAGGATGATTTCCTGCTGATAGGTACTTCCTTCTCTGCCCCCCGCCCAAAACAGACAGCCGTTATCTTTTCTCTTCCCCTTTGCTAGCCCCTGTTGCAGAAAACCTACTTCTGAATTCTCTATACTAGAGAAGTAGGGTGAAAAAAACCTATGAAAAGGTATCCCATCTTCTTTTAGAAGTTCAGGTGAATTCCTTCTTGACCTTGGCAGACTACTAGCCTTTCTTAAGCACAAAGGAAGATCATCCTTAATTTAGCACATACACCCATAAATATGATTACTCCCAAGGCTATATGGCCCACATCAAAAAAGTCCAGTACCTCCATCATCTTCTGTAGCAAAACAAAAATGAAACTTGTAGGCTACGTGTATGTAAAAAGGGGTCCTAATTTTTTTATAGGCTAAAAAGCTGAAAAGAGCAAACCTCAAAAGAAAGCAAGCAAATCATGTAATACCTGAAAGTAATCTGTGATGAAGGATCCAAGTTCACTCTTCAGCAGCCGTCTGTAGACAGAAGGAATGCAGCCATGAAGTAACAGCCATTGATGGTCATTTCTTACAGGTATATCCGCACCTTACTACCAGTCATACCAAAGTTACATGAGTATATGCGAATGTGTCATTTTGGCCACAGTTAGATTTCTTTTACATTTAGGTATACATTTTACAAATGCCCACAAAGGCTATTCTCAAATTATGAAGGAATGAAACAGTTTCCCTGAAGTCTTCTATTTATAAGCTATACACCTAGAACAAGCAAAAAAACCCACTTACCCCCCTGAATGCACAGAAGGTTGGGGAGACAATTTAAAGTTACTTAGTTTGAAATTCATAATTTTTTCTGCTTTTTGTTTAAACAAAGACACCTTTCATTTCACTGAAAATAGCATATCTCCCTAATGCTGTACTTCCTTTTCTCTTGGAAGTAGAAGGTGGGAGGATAAGGAGACGAGCAATGAAGTAAACACACAAGCAGAAGCTGTGGCTTCCCCGTGACTACCGCATTTAAAAAAAAAAAAAAGCCGTATTTTTCAGGAAAGTAATTCTAGAAATTTAACAAGAGGTGTTTTAAATACATGCAGGCAGAAGCCACTCTAAACTAGTATTTCTGATAAAAACTCTTGGATTTTAAATCAGGCTGTGATAAAAGTTTTAAATTTTAACACATATTTATATTTCAAAACTCTGATATAAAAATCAGGATTAAAAAAAAACAACTCACAAAGTTACGAGCATTTGCACTTTCAGCTTTCAGTGACTGTGAGCATAAATTCTGTAGCTGTAATTTCTGCCTAAAATTTAAAAGGTGCCCAACAATTTCCACTGCAAAACATTGCAGGTTTTTGCTGTTGTAAGAGTTTTGCTTTTCACCAACGTGAAGTAAAATCAGGAGTGCTCAAAAATGGCATTTGAATCAGGGACCATCCAGTTCTCAGGCTGGGTTCTTACTAACAAACTACATCACTTTTTCCTAATCTTTGCTGAAAGTCAATTTTGACAGCAACCTTCCTCCCTAACCATTTTGTAACACTTCTACATTTATTTGCATGCCAACATGCCTTTACTCTTTCTCTCTCAGAGCAGTTATATTCACCCCACCCATCTCAAAGCACATTTCTATTTCTATGAGATGGATAAACCAGGTAAGTCTTTGGGGGCCCATTTGCCAGAAGCTCTTCCACCAGCTTCGGCAGAATCCAGGGGGCTCTCCACCAGCTGATTGACAAGCGCACAGCAGGACTTCATCTCGCGCAGGCAGACCAGCAACCGGAGGCTTGCACCCTAGAGACAACCCAAGGGAGGGGTCTCCTCCTAATCATGGCCACATCACCTCCTGCTTCCTGAAATCCCATCTCCCGATGTCATTTCTTACATTTCCTCTTGTTGTGACAACTTTCAGAGCAGTAAAAAAAAAAAAAAGTATCCAGTGAGATGATATCAAATCACAGCAAGATAAAAATTTGGTGGCAGCAATCCAGAGCAAAATGTTACCACCTGCTCATCTCCTGGTCCTGTCATTATTGTCCTACTTTAAAACTCTCCTGCGTTTCCCACTGTCAAATAACTAAGCACTGTGCAGAATCTGCGAGTCTCTTAAAGCACTGCATTTGCTAACTTCCACCAAGGAGCTGAATGGAGAACTACAAACAAGGAAAATGCACCAGCTCGACCTAATGGCACACAAGATTCGGCCATCTGACAGGTCTGGCTTTTTGCCCAGCGCCAAGCTAGAGATTCACCTTGCGCACACAGAGCTAACATTGTGTTGGGAGCTACATCAAGAGTCACAGGTGCAAGGCTGAAGGTGTGCATGCAAACGTACAGATGCATGTCCTTTGCTCCTTAGACAGACGCTAATGAGCTACTTGAATGTTAAAGTGGCCTATTTAGAGAATGACATTTGGAGATGTAACCAATGCTCAGGGCACCTGCAGGAACATTAATCATGTATTTCAAGGTGAGTGCTTCCAAGTGCTGCCTAAGAGTGCCTGTCCGTGGAAGAGGGCATTTCCCCTCCCACCATCAGCACTGCTTACAAAGCATACACAGTTCACAAAGAATTTCCTGTTCTTCAATGGATCCTTCCTGTGGATCTCGACAGTCTAGATCCACTTCAGTAACCAACATGAAGAGAGCATGGTCCAGCCACTGGGGCCAAGCCCAGGCAACACGGCTATTGTGCCCAGCGTACTGTCTCCCCACAAGGGTGGGAAGGAGCGCCTGCTTGCACTGGGGAGGGAAAGCAGGCTGCAGCCACTACAGCAGGCAACAGCCTGGCAGACGAGTCACAAAACCCAAAGCCGGTCCCCAAGTCTGCCAATAGTCTGTGGGTTAGGGTATTTCCAAAGTCTTATGACATTTGTTTTTCTTTTCACCTACAGAAATACTCATCCCATGGAGAATTAAGACTGCTCCAAGTACTTAAACCTAACTTGAGGACTTCTGACCTGAGCACACTAAAATACCATTAAAGCATGAGACACTGCCCTCACTCAGCTCTCAAAAGGAATTATATTAAACTTTCACCTTTGGGACCAGACCAAGTAGGACAGAGTCTCATGCCTTGCAAGCTGCATTTATTTTTAAAGTAGGGAAAGGGGTAGTTTAGACTGCTGCTTAGTACATGCTTAGCCCAAATTGCCATTTGAATCTTGGTGCTCAGGAAAAATGCAATAGGGATGGAGGGACATATAAAAGGAGAAGCAGAGACCTATATGACAGCATTCATGATGAATTAATATGGATGTAGTGGGAAAGAGAGAGGGAGGAGGAACTACATCCATGAGCTCTGACAATACACCTCTTAGCAGCACTTGGAACCAAGGCAAGAATGAATTGTTCTTTATCTACTCTGCAGTCCTATCTATTGCTAACCAAACTTCCCAAATAATCAGGATGAAAGCACAGATAATCATGAAACCTGCTTAAAAAAAAATAAGACTTTTAATCATCACTAGCATCAGTGTTAGAAAATGTTTGTTAAGCTTTTAGTTTTTTTATCTTTAGGGTTCATATTTTCAGGTCTTGCTCTGCAATTATCATGTAAAGATTAAGCTTTTAAATGAAATGCTGTATTTTGCTTTCATTTTAAACACTCCACAGTTCTGAGAAGCTTGGGTTTAGAAAAGAGATGTTGCTACCATCACAAATGCCCTGACAAAAATGTGTAAAAAACAGCCAGAAGAGGCAAACTCCCTAGGAGGGGACGAAATCCTTATAATCCAAGTCAATACACATCCCGTCATTGTCAAAGCTACACATCCACACAAGTCAGAGAAATGTTATCCAGGTGCCCCATGCCATTCACTCCACCCAATAGCAAAAAAGAAGTAAGTTAGCCTGAAACCCCAAAGCTGTGCTTAAGTTTGCTTCGATCCCTGCTCCTTCCACCAATATCCTCTAACTGCGGTTCTGTAGGGGAACAAAAACAAGAACATCAAACCGGCAGCAACAAAAATCCCTTTTCATGCATTTCAGCAACCTACCTGATATTTTCATTGAGGGTGTAAAGTTCATTGTTCTGCAAGCCTCCCCCTTTGAACACATTTATCACTGCTGTTTGAACACTGCCAAAAAAGAAATGAGACAGTACAACATCCATAAATAACAGCCACCAGTATGATTTAACACAGAGCGCAATGTGAGCTAGCCGCCAAAAGCTGAGTGGTTATAATGGGGTGGAGAGATTAATTGCACTTAAATACTTCTACTCTTTCTTCCCTGGAAATCATCACTCTTATTTACCTACATCTCTCATGGGAGACAGAGCAGAACCAATCTCAAGTTGTGCCTAGAGTAAGCAAGGGAAAGTTGTTACAGGGACACTGTTCACAAAGAGCACATTCACACCAGATATATCTTTAACGCGACTGTTTAGGGGATCTCTGCTGTGTGCTGCAGGCTAGTTGCTATGAGGAGACATAGATTTTTGGCAATATCTGCCAAACACATCACATTGCATTATCCAGTGATGCTAGCAGGAACCACCCAATCTGCAGCATCTGGCAGGACCCTGGCTGTGCTAGAAGACGTTCTGCAGCCAGCATCATCTCAGTCAGACCCAACTTTAAGCCCTGTTAATGCTTGTAAGATGCTGTTGGAGGATCTTCTAACTCATACTTCTCTCACCAGCACAGAGGAAGTCATAAAGTGACAGCATATAATATGGTTTAGCAGGTCTAAAGGCTTGCCATGGCTAACAAGAGGAGGTGTCATTCCCTTAACGGGCATTCCCTTCTGGGTGCTGGTTGACAGCCGGCTGAACATGAGCCAGCAGTGTGCCCAGGCGGCCAAGAAGGCCAATGGCATCCTGGCCTGTATCAGAAATAGTGTGGCCAGCAGGAGTAGGGAAACCATCGTGCCCCTGTACTCGGCCCTGGTGAGGCCGC